AGTAGGAATAGAATAAAGAAAAGGAAGATAAGAAAAGGATAAAGAGGAAATGAAGTAAGAAACGAAAGGAGGGTTAACGATCTTAATGGCTAGGCAAAACATTGACACCTTGACGGAGCTCCGGTGGACCACCTGGACGAGGGTTTGCGCGGGGCGAGGGGACCTGGTATCCTCAAACAAATGGTCACCACGTAGATGTGCGTATAGTCACCGCTTATGAGAAAGTAAGTTGGTTTCGAGCGATGACAACGAGCTAACACCGTGAACAAACACGGCGGCACGAAAGAGACAGAAAGACGTGTTTCCACTATGGGGACCCCTGATCATCATCATCATCATCATCATGTACTTACGCGTTTCCTCTCAAACATCGTGACTTACGTACGTACAGTGTGGGACGTTTGAGGAGGTGGAGTTAGGGGAATCTTCGAACGGGCCCCGTGTCAGACAACTGACGACACCAAGTCAAGTTAACTTCTCATGGGAAACAGGACTTTCTTCTTATTCTTATTCTTTTTCTCGATATATCGAGTTTACTTTTTACGTCATTTACATATTGCATTTTCGCTGCTAATTTTATTTTCATTTTGCTATTCAATATATGTATTTGTTTTTCTATTTATTTTGTCATAGAATTCAAGAAATAATTTCGGTTGATACGAAATTTAAGTATATTATGATTTTTTTGAAAGATTGATCTAATTATTGAATTATTTTTTGTGTCCCCCCCTTCCCTACCCCATAGATCAACTTCATTACGATTTCGAATCCAAATATAATTATGAGGATTATTAAATAGAAGGATAATCGTAAGGATAATCGAGTATATATACGTGGGTGTGTGTATGTATATGTGTGTGTGTACATGTGTCTGTATTATGGATTAAAAAAATACATTGTGATGTTCAACTGTCTTTGGTTTAATATTATACAACTGGAGCCGGGCATTGCGAGAATAACGTGCCCGTATACATATTACATATACACACGTAGAATTAATTTGTCGTTGCATTTCAATCCTGTATCTTTTGCATTATGTCAGATTTGTTTTTTTTATATACAACATATGTATCCAACGATTTATATTATTATCTTAAAAACAACAGCATCGTTTAAACGTTTATCTCGATAATCGTAGATAATATTTAAGAATCATAAATCTCTATGGTTGTTTTGAATAACCATAAGTAAAATTCGTATTTTAAAACCAAGAGATACAGTCTATTTTTTCCCCATTCTTACTTTATTTCTTTTTAGACGATAAATAAAATCATCGTTTCATTGACACGTAATTTTTTTTTTTTTTAAATAATTTTCTTTCATTTATTTTTTGCCTTTTTTTTTTGGGTTTGATCTTAAAAATAATTTTTTCTTACAGAACATTTGACCGAATGCCATTTTCTTTTCTCTTCTTCTTTTTTTTACACATTAATTTTTGTCCATACGCGCATACAATTTGTTTTTTCGCGAAAAAAATAAACATTAAGACAGAGAGATGATATTTATTAGGCCGATGAGATGATTATTTTGTCGTTTCTTTTTTTTCCTTCTTCTCGAAAAATTTGTCTCCCATTACTTTACGAATTAAAATAATGATTTATACACACGTATACATTTGTACATCTATAATATTACGCATTATTTAACACGTAAAATAGTTTGGAAATATCGAAGGATCGAAATTTAGGAAAAAAAAAAACAATATTATTCTTGTTTCGTGTCCCAGATTAAAATTCATCTAATTAAATATAACAAACGTATTTTTAAAAATATGAAGAATTTTTTTAGTCGCCGAAAAAAAAGAAAAAAAAAAAAGAAGAATAATGATCAGTCATTATTTTTTTTTTCTTTTTTTTTTATAAATTCATCGATCGATCAATATTGAAACAATGAAAATGAAAACCATGAAAGTTCTCATGCACATTCTCTCTCTCTCTCTCTCTCTCTCTCTCTCTCTTCTCATTTTCATCGTTATACCTAATCAGCCCTTACGAATAATTAAGAAAAATTAATGAAGAGTTTTAATAGTTGTTCGTATAAGAAAATTCTATTTCGATGCATATCACAGACACTAGAATTAACGGCAATGAAAGTGCGCTTTTGTTTGTTTGTTTATTTTGAGTAATAGTAATCGGGGGTTAGAGGGGGCTGGGCGGGCAGGGCGGGGTATTCTATTCTTTTTTTTTGTTATTTGTATCTACTTCTAAAAAACACACACACAGACACACACGCGCGTTTAGGAAATCACACTGAATACTTGATTTGATTGATAACAATTAGGACAATAGTTATCATTTTTGTTTAAACAACGCGAAAAAGGGAATCAATTATTATACTTTTCTATTCCCTTTTTAAACGTGTGATCTATGATAAGCTTAAGGGCCGCTTAACATTAAAATGATCTACGACGGTACACAGTTTAATCGGTGAACATTGAATTTTCAACTACGATGATTTTTTGATTTCTCTCGAATTTTCTACATCGAATCTAAAGAAAATTGTTGTATTGTTTTTTCATTTACATTGTGAAATATCATAAATACGATTAAATGATTGTGAGGTACCAACAAATTTGTACTGTTAATGTAATAATATTGAATAAAGTTTGATTATAAATAATACAATACAATTTCATTTATTTTTCTTTATCATAAGAAAAATCACGAGTCATTTTTGTTTTTGTTTAGATCCGATACTTGGAAACATCCCCATCGAGAGATTAAATAACATTTTTTTATGTCAAATAAGATAATAGAAAAAATAAAAAAAAAAGGGAAAAAGACAACCACATTGTTTCGCGAAACAATGTTTGCTTATAGTATGAATAGAAAAGAAAAAAATAATGTAATACTAAATTGGTAATTGAATTCAATTGAAAATAATATACCGAGTGTAAAGTTTCCAATGAAAAATAAAGGAACAACATTTATCTATGCTTTCAAAATTTGAAAAATAATTTACTAAGACGTGATGAGTAACAAATGAAAAGATTTTCATCATTTTCATTCTCATTTCATTTTCTGTTTCCCTTTTTATGAATACAAGTATGATAACTTGTTTGACAATTTTCTTAAATACCTAACCGTCATTCATTCTCTCATATCATCTTTTTTCTCTTATTGTTAAACGTATTTTTATAATACCCTAGGACAATTCGAAAGCTCAGTTAGACACTTTAAATAGAAATATAGTATAAGATCATTACAAAAATAAAATAAATAATCTGAATAAATACAAATATTATAATATATATATATGTGTGGATGATAGGGCGAATGGGGTGGGAGGGGTGAGAAGAGGGTGTTAATGTTAGTTAATAAATTATTATTATTAATATTATTATTATATTATTATTATCATTAATGTTATTACTATTATGTAGGATTATATTTGAATAATGTGTATGTGTATGTGTGATTTATATTAGTAATACGAATGTATGATGTTGTACAGATGTGTTACTTGTACGTATTTTTGTATGCTGATATGCGAGGGCGAAGTCATGACGCGTATATAATAATTAATAATGATAAAGAGATAAATAAAGCGAGTTGGATTAAGAAAAAAAAAAAAAAAAAGAAAAAAAAATGGCGTTCATATATTATGCCATTCGCGATTGGCATTTAAAAGGATCAATTAATTTCCTATTATTTCATTCTGTTACACTCATTTTTTTTTTATAATTTGATGGTGTATATCGATTAAAAACTAAACAAACACACTAGAAAAAAAAAAAACAAAAAAATAATAATAATAATAAAAATGAAAAAATAAAAAGAATTATTAATACATATTACACGCACTCACGTTAACGTGTATTGTAAATTTTTAAGAATATTTAAAAAAGAAAAAAAAAAGAAAGTAAAAGCCCAGCTGCACGTACGTGAATTTCGTATAAAATAAAAAATTAGTATTAAAACGTCGTCCTTGTATTGATATAAAATCGAATTCGAATGTTTTCTCGGCTTTGATCGTTCCACTTTTTTTCTAATCGCGAAATAACGAAATTCGTTCGATGATTATTCCCAATTTCGAAATGGCGTTATTTAAAAAAAAACCCTTTTCGAATTTATCGATTGATTTTTATTTTTTTTCTTTCTCATGCAAGCATGCATTTCATCGTCTACGTTCGATTACGAAAACGTAACGAAAGTTTATGGGAAATCGAATAGAAATTCGTTCGCGTTTTCTTCTTCAAGGCAACAAATCTTTGGAATCGCGTAACCGAAAAACATTCCGACGTGCATTTCAAATGATTCAAAAAAATACTGAATATAATTGTATGATAATATAAAATTACAAAAAAAAAAAAAGAAAAGAAGAAAATAGTATTAAATGAAAATCCTCAAAAAAACAAAAAAAAAACAAAAGCTCGATAGATTTCTTATGCGTGGATGAATAATTTAAATAAGAAACAAAAAAAAGTTGAAATACACCGTATTAAAAAAAAAAGAAAAAAAAAGAAGATAGATAATATTACGTTCGATAAATAATTAACGAACCTAACGTTCCTTATTCACGTCTATCATCATTCTCTCCTAAATTTCTACGATTTCATTTTAATAATTAATTAATTATTAACTAACACAACGGCGGCGAAAACCGACGAACTCTACGATCAGCCCCGAGGATTAATCTTTTTTTTTTTGTTTATTTATATTTATTTGTTTTATTTCAAATCAATATCCAAAAATACTAATTGAAAAACTTGAATTAAGATGATATTTAACGATCAAGAATTATCTTTCAAACGTTTACGAATCTTGTCATGTTTCATATTCGATCTATCGACGAATATAATTCGGACAAATGAAAAGATCAATCCAAAGGGTCAAATATAAAATCATTTTATATTTGATAATTAATTAGCATCCTCGTGTTTCCCATTGGAAAATTTAAATACTTTAGTCTCGCACCTATTTTGATTTTTGTCCTTGGATATAACGGAACTTATTATAATATTATTAATATTATTATTATTATTATGATTATTATTGTTTTTTGTTTTTTTTTTGTTTAATAATGAAGAGTCTGATTAAGGGAATATCTTTGCGAGATAAAGTCAGTGAGTTTTTTCGAATGGGCGAGTCGTCGCCTCGTATCCCTTCTTCGGCTTCCGCCTTGCCGTCCTCATGATGGTGGTAAAGTAGTTCGAAGGTATTCGCATATTTGATTGACGTATTCGAGACAATTAATGTAGTCCCGTAATATAAAAAAATCGCGCAAATTACGGAAGGTAGCGGAAGATGCTGTCTTGCGAAATTCATCCGCCATTACGTCCCTTTTGACGTCAGCACCTAAGGGCACGGCACGTTCAACCAAAGCGGCTTGTACTTCGCACAGGACCTGCGAAAATAACAACGATAATATTATTTTTTTTGTTATATTATTTTGTTGATATTCTTACGATTTTTTAAATGATATGATTAACTTGCAAATAATTTATAGGCTACGTTCAGATCGATTAAATATATTTATATGCTGATGATAATAATTTACGTGGTTTGTTTCGAAGATTATTTTTGAATGGAACGTTTGATATCTGAACAATTAATAAACCCTCGAAAAATTCGTCAAATATCATTCATCCTACTTTTACTCAACGTTGATATTAAGGAGCACAAACTCCATGTATACAAATGGGATATAAAAACAAGATGGCGTCCGTGTTTTATTTGTACCAAAATGGAAGAAGAATAAGGCAGCAGTTTGAAATAGAAATAATAATACGAAACTATAACGGTAATCATTTAGATTGCTTAAGTATAAATAATTGAAAAATTAAATAAATAATTATATTTAATAATCGTAAAAAAATGAATAAATATAGTAATAGTAATAATCGGTACGTTACTATGTTCAGAGCAGTACAAAAGGTATATTAGCGACACTAGTGGTGAAAAAAGGAAACTTAAATATACGATTTGCATGGACAGATTTTGGCAATTGAGTTCGTGCTCCTTATATAATTTTCATGGGACCATTTAAAAATAAACTTCTACTAAAAAAAACAAAAAGGCAAACAAGAGAATCCTTTTGCAATTAAAAATGTTCAAATCATCAGCACAAAATGCAGAAACTTCAAGTTTTGAAATACATCATTCACATGTGAACTATGAGAAACATCATAAATTACTTAAATTTCTTTACAAAATGAATCCTTTAATTTAAGGATTTCAGATCTAGAAGATAACAAAACTAATTATCCGAAAAAATAAACCACCTGTTCTGAATATAAAAAATAACAAATAAAAAGAAAAAACTAAACGCGTATTGGTGTATAGTTTTATATATACACTCGTTTATAACGGAATTTACTCGGAGTCAACGATTCGAAGGGTGTAAAAAAAAGAACGAAGGGGGGGAAAGGGGGAGGTGTTTCGATCGAAGTTATTTTTTTGTACACGCGATAACTACGGAATTGAGGTTGATGGATATTATCGAACAGTACGTACAGAGGAAAGAAAATAAAACGAAAAGATGGAGAAAATCGATGTGGAACACTCGGTGTCCTGAACACCGGTGATCTGACGAGAAATGTTTTGCGGTTCTTTAGAGATTCTGTACTCGGAGGACTGGGGGGGGGATGGAGGGTGTGGTTTACGTAAAATTGCTCGTAAAACTACTGGTCAAATGCTTTTTATATTGTTCATAAATCGGTTAGCAAATAGCAGCAACGTTATATTTCAAACCATGATCGTTTGTTGTTATTAACCATTGTGAAAGTCGAATAGAACAACGT